CGGGGGTGGGGGCGTGGGAACCGGGTGCCTCCCCCGGGGCGTGCTGGGGTGTTCGCACGGATCCCCCGGCTGGGAGAGGGCAGCGGGTTCTGGTGCTGAAGCGCACCCGGTGTGGTTCGTGAGTAGGTGTCGCTGATTTACTTACGATGTTTAAATGTTTTGTAGGCCCGGACGCGCACAGCCGTGGTACAGTGTTGTAAAGCTACCTAATCATACTTTAGAGCGTAATTAAAGGTCCTACAAAGAGGTGGTGGGGGGAGAGCTACTGAGGAGGCCTGAGTGAAAGCAGCTTGATTTGTCGAACTGGCTTAGTCCTCTAGTGTCTGTGTTCTTAAAGGCTGCTTTCACTTAGTATGAACACCGATAAAGAAGTACATCTTTTAAAGAACCGTTTATAGCCTTTCTAGGTAACTTGGAAAGTCTGGGCTTGTACAAAAATACATTTTAATTTTTTTTTTAGAATATATTTATTTACACTGCCTAGGAATACATGTGACTGCTCTGTTTACCTTTTTAATGAAATATGTTTGTGTTTGTGACAGCGAAAGACGGGTAGTTTTCACTGGTGGTTTAAAGCTGAAGGCAGAGTAAAAGTAATAGATCTTTAAAAGTGTATTGAGAGGATAATCTGAGGTATCAAAAGTACAGACATCTGAGCTAGTTGTTGAAAGAGGTTGCTACTGAACAGTTTATATAATTGTTAAGTGTTAGTTAATTGTTAGTAATCTGAATGCTCAGTCTTACTGTTTAATCTCCCATCTAAATAAAAAGAATAGGAAGCATACATAGTAGTTTCTGGATATATCTTGAGATGTTTAAAAACCTTAAACCAACAAAGGTCCATCCAAAGAAAAAGAGGTGGGAAAAAAGTTTGTGAAGTAAAATAACTAGTGCAGGTGTGAAAGTCAAGGAATCTAAGGTAGGAAATCCCTTTCTGCTGGGAATAACAGGAAAAAGTCTTATAAATCACAGATGTTGCAAAAGTACTGGAGTAGTCTGTACAGCCTCTGTTCCTTTTTGCTGGAGAAGTTGTAGTGAGATACTTTTTGAAACAGACTAAAATGATGTGATAGGATTGTGGTCAGAGTAATAATAATAAAAAAAAAAAGGAGGCAAAGCTAACTGAGCTTTAATCCCCTGAAAGGTTCTGAGGGGGTGGTTTCAGTGGAGAATTTGTTAGTAAGTAAAGGTAAATTAAAAACAGTGTGCAAACAGAATACAGTTAACAAGGAAGAAATATAAATGGTTTGTCCTGAGTTTTGCAGGGTTTCTGCCATTGTCTGGGTTGATGTTAAAAACAAGCTACTAAAATGCGATCTAAAAATTATTTTCGGGAGATCCTGTACAGCTTGTTGCAAAATTGCTTTTGAAGCTGACTTGTAAATAATTAGTTTTTAAACAGGGAGGTTATGAAGTATCCTCCAGAGGAGTTCTGTTTTGAGTGTATTTCTGTTGATTTCTGTAATGGTGAACACAACAGATACGTTGCCAAGTTGGAAGGATTGCAAGCACTGTACAGCTCGGTGTTAGAATTCAAAATGATCTAGAGAAGACTGATAGCAGATTGGAAATCAGTGTAATTAAGCTCACTTAACAAGAACTGAGGAAGGAAGAGAACACGGAGGAAAAATCAAAGGCATAATTAGTGGAAAGAGTATTACTGAAGGGCAAACAGTACCTCAAAAAAGAATTTGAGCACTGTAGTGCATAGTAAATTAAATAATAATATGGTGTCCTTTCAACTAGCCAAATGTTATTTTGGTGTGCTAGCAGGTATGAATAAAGACAAAGGAAGTGATTGTGCTGTTGAAGAAGGGTCTTAGCTAAAATGGTATGGCTGTTTTTTTCAACCATAGTATATACATCTCTAGACTGTGCAAGAACATTAGGTTTATAAAACTTGTTTTTTTGGGGGAAGCTTGAAAGGCACAGGCAGACTAGAAAAGAGGAAACAAAGAGCAAGTTTGACGAGTGCCCTCACATCTGTAAAAGGGTTGCTACATGAAGGCAAGTTTAACTAGTCTTCGAGGTCTCTGTAGACCAAGAGAGGAAATCATGCTTATTTTTAAAAGGTAATACTTGGGTTGGATGTTTGGCTTTTAGGTTGTTTAAACATTGAAACTGGCTGTCCACTAAGACTGCAAAATCTCTTTTGTTGGAGAAGTTAGTGGCTGGACAGACAGACATCTGGTGAGGACAGTCTGATCTCTCAAGGGTCCTTGCACAGTTCTGTGTATATGAACGTGACGGAATTAGAAATTTTAACTGGAGAAAATTGATTTGGAATTTGCAAAAGTTTTCTTGAGCCTGGATTTTTATGGAGCATTGGTAGGAAAAGACCACAACATATCCTCTTCTATCTCTTCAGTGTGTTGTGGGAGAGTATTTGTGTGCTTAGTGAAGGGTTTGCTTTCCAGTATGTAGCTTTTAAGTGTCTTTCCACCGGTATACAATGACCTGTTTGTTTTGATTGTGAAAGGTAGACTGTTGAACCATTTAAATACATTTCGTGCTGTTTATGAACAGAACTTTTGGTAGAACATCTTTAATGGCCACTAATTCACAGGGATGTTCTATGGAAAGAGCAAACTTCTCTTTTGGAAGGTGTTGAGGGATAAAGAGAGTTCGAGGGGTAAGAGAAGCTTACCTGCCTACTTTTCTTGATCAAAGAATATGCATACTATATAGTGGAAAGTGACCAAATGGAAGTATGATGTTGATAATGTCTTTAAGATACTTATATATTAATGTTGTTATTAAGGAAACACCCTGTTAATGCTCTTTTGGAATAACTGAATTGAAAGATTGGACACGTTTCCAGCTGATGCTTCAGTAGATGCAGTGTGTCATTCCGCTTTTTCAGCACATGTCAAGGAGAAGGACTTGTAGGCAGATTGCTTCTTTTTTACACTGTCTGAAAAAAAAAAAGAAACCCCAATTCTCATTCTGTTATCTTCCTGTGCTCAGAAAACAGTTTTTGGTTAGTTATTGTTTTTTTATTTGCTGACTTAAATTTTAATGTTGAGTATTTGTCTTTTCCAAAATGACGTACTTGCACTTCTGCTAGTAAAATGTCCAAAAGCATTTCTTGAGTGATCTGACCTGTTGCTGTATTCTTTTTCCTTAGTAACAGCTTTCTGCTTTTAAAGTTTTCATACTTTTCTGTTAAAGTAAAAATAATAATGTGAAGGCTTGCTGGTGATGATACTCAAGAGTTGCATTTTCTATGTATTTTTGTAAAGGTGAGAAGAACAGCATTATTGATTTCCATATAAATCTGAAACTTAAAATGAATGCAACTCAATGTCTGGTAGTTGGTTCATTGTCACAAAAGTAACAAAATAGTGCAGAGTTTGGACTAGTAGATGTTATGAGCTTTACAATTCTTGAGTCCAGGAAAATAGTCTGCCCTACGCTTAATAAACACAATTTGAATTTTGATGCAAGGTAGAGGTTGTATTAGATGTTTCTTGGAGGTCCCTTCTACCAATCCAAACCACTTTGATTCTGTGAAAAATATTTTTTTGGGGTAGCTGTTAAGTAAATGTTTTGTACTTTTTTCCAAGACTACTTAAAATTCTTTTAAGAATAGAATACTTGTGACAGTGTTTTACTGAAGTTTAAAGTAGTAATAAGTAGCAACTAGACTAAGTTATTTTCTATTTTAGTCTGTAGTCTATTCTACAGGTATACAGGCTTATGGCATAGCTAATTCAATAGAGAACAACTGCAGTTTAAAGACTCTATTGTAAATAGCTGATAAAAGTTTTAAAGTAGATAATGCAGTATTTAAATACAGTGACTAAGGAAGATGTATCTGCCAGTGTCTTGTTATAGGAAGGACTAAATTATTTGCCTGTTTGTTTTTTTAGTTTGATATTTTTTGAAGAAAACTGTGCTGTACAATCAAGGACTTTAAAACATTCTGTTCCACGAGTTGGTTGGTTTTGGTGGGGTTTTTCGGTGTTATTTTTAATTGGATGGCATTAGGATTAATATATCTGTGAATTATATTTGTGGGATTAGCTTTGTAGTGTTCAATCCATTTTTATGAGAGGATGGTATTTGAGCAAGGCTTTCTGGTTTCAGCCTTTTGTGACACTTCAGATTTTTTTTATGGTGGTCAGGACTGCAGTTTTGTGTACAGGAAAGTAGCAGAAAACCCCCCAAAACCTGTTTGAAGTCTGTGTTTGCAAAATGAAAAAAAAATAGCCAGGGGCCAATACAAAGTGTTTTATATGTACAGCAATGTACACTACAGAATTCAGATTTCCTGTGTCAGGCTAAGAGCTTCTAGGTGCAGAGTTACTCTTACATAGGAAATCTTGTTTGTGCCTTGTATCACTTCTGTGGTGGGTAAGATCAGGGGTCCTATAGATACCAACCTAGTTCAGTGCCTCACTGGCTGTACTGGAAGGCTTTTTCTCAGATTAGCAGAGCATAGTCATGCATATAAGCAAAAGGTTAGAAGTTGGCTCCAATTCCCTGACTCTTGAGTGCTTTATGTTTAACTGTAAGCTTTAATGTAATTCCTTATATGGAACTTAGGTTTCTTTGGAATTCTATTTTTTTTTTTTTGTCTGGGAAAAAAAGTCTTGAACTATTTGCTTGGAAGTAGTAAGGTGTTCTATACTATAAGAAAACCAATATGATTTTGTTGTAGTATATATGGCAGTAGTCAAATCACAGGTTAATGATTCCAGATGAAATTGTGAAGTCAAGGAAATGGACCATGGATAAAAGTGGCAATAACCAATCCCTACCAAATTAGAGACTTTATCATTTGTTTAAACTCTCACTTCCTATTTTTATGAAGTATCTCCAGGAGGATAGACTTACTTTAGCTTCTCAGTAGACTTTGGAACTTGCAGATTAAGCTCTGTAGGCATATGGGGGCAGGGTGGAATGGAGTTATATTGCTAGCCTTTAAATCAACAAGGTCTGTTTCAATTTTTTTAAGAACAAAACCATTTAAAAAAATGATCTGAAACCCTAAACCTGTGAATTAGAATGATACAAATATAATATGTCTTATGACTTTTCCAAGCATGTATTGATTTTTTAAGGACACAACATTTATATGCATATGGAACCTCTCATTTAAAGTTTTTTTTACTTATAATAAAATAATAGACATAAAAGGTTCTACAGACATGCAAAAATGTGGACATTTATGCCACATACTCTGTAGACTGTTATTTAAGTGTGAGGCCAAAGAAATCTTCTCTATGAACAAATGAAATGCTTTCATTTTCCCATCAAACTGTAAATATATCAACTAACTTGTTTTCTTTTACTAGAAATGACTACCCCAAACAAGACACCACCTGGTGCTGATCCAAAGCAACTAGAGAGGACTGGTACTGTTAGAGAAATAGGCTCACAAGCAGTTTGGTCTCTTTCATCCTGTAAGCCAGGTAAAATCACAACAAATTATATAAAAAGCTGAATGTGTGTTGGTTTTTTTTTTTCTTAAAATATATAGTGGTTTATCACAGAATGGTAGGGGTTGGAAGGGACTTCTGGAGATCCTCTAGTCTAACCCCCTTGCTAGAGCAGAATCCCCTAGAGCAGATTACACAGGAACATGTTCAGCTAGCTTTTGAATGTCTCCAGGGATGGAGACTCTATAACCTCCCTGGACAGCTTCTTCCAGTTCACTGTTACACTCACAATTAAGAAGTATTTTCCTATATTTAGGTTAAACCTCCTGTGTTCTGGTTTGTGACCATTGCCCCTTGTTCTGTCACTGGACATGACTGAGAAGAGTCTGGCCCCATCCTCCTTACACCTGCCCTTTAGATATTTACAAACATTGAGATCCTTCCTCAGCCTCATTTTCTCTAAGCTAAACAGATCCAGCTCTCTCAGCCTTTCCTCATAGGGCAGATGCTTCATTCCTGTAATCATCTCAGTGGTCCTGTGCTGGCCTGTCTCCAGTAGTTCCTTGTCCTTCTTGAACTGGGGAGCCCAGAACTGCACATAGTCCTCCAGGTGAGGCCTCACCAGGGCAGAGTAGAGAGGGAGAAGTAATCTTTTTTGACCTCCTAGCCACACTCTTAATGTACCCCAGGATGGCATTGGCCTTCTTGGCTGCGAGGCCACATTGTTGGCTCATGGTGAGCCAGTTGTCCACCAAGACTCTCATACCTTTTTCCCCACAGCTGCTTTCCAGCAGGTCAGCCCCTAACTTGTACTGATACGTGGAGTTGTTCTTCCTCAGATGGAAGAATCTGCCTTGTTGAACTTCATTAAGTTTCTCCCAATCCAGCTCTCCAGCCTATCCAGATCATGTGGGATGGCAGCACAGCCTTCTGGCATGTCAGCCAATCCCCCAGCAAATTTGGTGAGGGTACGTTCTGTCCGTATGTTCAGGTCGTCAGTGAATATATTGAACAGGGCTGGACCAAGTACTGACCCGTGGGGGACACCACTAGTCACAGGCCTCCAACTGGACTCAGACCCACTGACCACAGCTCTCTGAGCTCTATCCTTCAGCCAGTTCCCAGTGCCTTTCACTACCCAATCATCCAGTCCACAGTTTTCAAGTTTGGATGTGAGGATGCAATGTGAGACAATGTTGAAAGCCTTGCTGAAGTCAAGGTAGACCACCTCAGCCACTTTCCCCTCATCTATCCATCTAGATATGCCATCATAAAAGGCTATTACGTTGGTCAAACATGACTTCCCCTTGATGAATCCATGCTGACTGCTCCTGATAACCTTCCTCTCCTCAACATGCTCAGAGTTGGCACCAAGGATAAGCTATTCGATCACCTTTCTAGGGATGGAGGTGATGCCGATCTTGGTGCTCCTGTTTGAAGACTAGGGTGATGCTGGCTTTCTTCTAGTCCTCAGGCACCTCTCCTGTTCTCTAGGACTTTTCAAAGATGATGGAGAACAGCCTAGCAACGACTTCTGCCAGCTCCTGGCAGCTGTGGGTGCATTCCATCAGAGCTCCAGGATTTGTGGATGTTCAGTTTACTTAATTGATCCCTAATCCAGTCCTCTTCAACTGAGCCAAAGTCTGCCTTTTGCCAGACTTCCTCTGTGGTCTTGGTGGTCTGGGGCTCCTGAGGATCAGCCTTACCAGTGAAGGCAGAGGCAAAAAAGGCATTCAGTAACTCTGCCTTCTCTCTATCCTCCATCACTAGCACACCAACTTAATTCAGCAGCAGGCCAACATTCCTTTTGAACTTACTTTTTCCTCCAGTGTACCTGAGGAAACCTTTCTCGTTGTCCTTGACCTCCCTTGCCAGGTTTAATTCTAGGGAGGCCTTAGCTTTCCTCGTTGCATCCCTGCATACTCTGATGCCATTCTTGTATTCTTCCCAAGTGGTCTGCCTGTTTTTCTGTGTTCTGTAAGTTTCTTTTTCTTCCACTTGAGCTTATTCAGTAGCTTCCTGCTCTTACTATGTTTTGATAAGCATACTTAACAGAGTGTAGTAGTAGAACTGTTGTAGTGTAAGCTGCATGGGTAGCCACTACAAAAAATTTTGGTCTAGTCTATATTTGATGTAGTATAGAAGTTGTAAATATATCAGAAATGCAATGAAGAAATAAATACCTCATGAACAAAGAGATCTTTTATCAATTCAATACAAAATTGGTTTTTTTACTTACACAGTGAACAATCTAAACCACATTAGCAGAAATGCACCCAACAGTATTGTAATTGTTTCTATGCTTTGGCATTTTGCCAGGGTATCTTTGATTTTAACTTATAAAAGCCATGAAGCAGCAACCTAAATGCTCTGTCCAAATTGCATGTGGACTCAGCCATTATAGTCTAGCTCCCAAAAATCCTCCAAGTAAAATGAAACTAGTGTGAATGGTGATGAGATGCAGTTCATGGTGGCTTATACCTGCTCAAAATATCTGGAAACGTGTATTCTTTTCCTCTGGGGTGGTTGAGTTGCTATTTCAGAAGTCTGCTGTCTTGTTGCAGCCTAGAGCGAATAATCCCTTTATATCACAATATTGTGCTCTGGCGAAATGTCTTTGCTGTGAAACCTTGATACCTTACTTGGAGGAAAAGATGTGGTTTAGATACTTCAAACAAGCTAATTTTTTTATTGCAGGTTATACTTCAACTGCTGAATTAAAACCGCAGCTAGCATGGGCAATCAGTGAAAGAGTGTGATTAGTAAAAGGACAGATAATGAGGGAATGTGAAAATAAAGATTTAGGCTTGTGGCAACAGTATGTTTCAGGAATATTGTTTTTGGTATCTGCTGCTTGCTCTAGCTACTATCCTTAAAAAGTAAAATAACTTCAGGAAACCACTTGAAAAGAAAATTTACATTTGTCTACAATTTTATAATAAATGTATGGTCTCTGTTAATGATTTTCCTTTAGTTCAACAGTTAGATTATAGAAGAGGTAGAAAAGCCTTACTATTAAGTATTGTTCTTGCAATTAGTATGAATTACTATGTACATTTGAAATTTCAGGACATGTTGAATGGTTTCAAACCCCACAGACTACAATAGGAGAGAAAAATATAAAGACACTTGAGTAACTAAGCTTTGATTGACAGCCTCCCTTTTCATTTTTGTGTTACAAAAGCATAGGCACAACTTAGATACCTAGAAATATTTCCTGTTATAAGTTAGGATACATACTTTAGTTTGCAACAACTGTAGAAAACTTATGTGTGTGATGTCTGCATCACAGAAATGGGATATTCAAGAGTAATATATTTATTTTTTTTTTTAGGATTTGGAGTGGATCAGTTACGAGATGATAATCTAGAAACTTATTGGCAGTCAGATGGGTCACAGCCTCATTTGGTGAACATCCAATTTAGGTATCAAGAATTATATGTCAGGATGTTTTGTATTATTTTGTGTTGATTACTGTTCACCAAGATAGGAATTTTGGAAGTGCACGGACTCCTGGGTTAATACTCTTATCCAACTAGTAAGAAGCCAGCTAGGTAACACTTCTAAAAATGAAATTTTAAAATGTTATGGTTGCTAAATGCCTAAATAAACAAAAAGGAATGTTTAATAGTATGTAATTTGTAACAGTTTCACATTTATGTACCTATAGTGACGTTTTTATCCTGATTTTCTGTCTTTGAGTGTAATTTCGAAGGTAGATGACTTTAAAATAGTCCTGGATGACTTAACAGCTGATTGTTTGAGAACCTTTTCTATTCTGTTCTATGTAGGATGCTTTCAATTCTTTTGTTTTAACCAAACTCTTAAGATGAGTTTAGATGTTTGTCACCTTTTTATTTGCTTTCTGGAGAACTCTATGATACGGTAATAGAGCCCATATTTGATAGGCTGAACAAGTGATTTGTCACATACAGCTGCTTATTTGGCATCTTTTGGCATCCTTTTGTTGTTTCTTGGTGTACTAACGCTTTGTAAGGCAGACAAAGGAAATTTGTGAGAATGAACTCGGTGTTTTTCCACATTAACTTATGCACACATAGTTGCTTTAACAGTGAGGCTCTTAATATAAGTGTGTCTTTATGAGTTTTACAACATTTAAATCCTTAGCTGTTACAAACTAGCAACAAACTAATTCTAGATGCTTTTTCTTTTACGATGTTTACACAGCTTTTGTTGCTTCTTGCAGAAGAAAAACAACAGTGAAGACATTATGTATTTATGCAGACTACAAATCTGATGAAAGTTACACTCCGAGCAAAATCTCTGTCAGAGTAGGAAATAATTTTCATAATCTCCAGGAAATTCGGGTAGGTCAATGATGCTTTACTTTCTGTCTTAAAATAGTCCTCTCATTAGAGCATCTGATGTTGCAGCCTAGAGCGAATAATCCCTTTATATCACAATATTGTGCTCTGGCGAAATGTCTTTGCTGTGAAACCTTGATACCTTACTTGTTTTTGAAGGTAAAATATGGCATTGTTCTTGAGGGGTGGGGAAAATGGCTGAGATTATTTTGTTGTTTGCGTTTAGTCTTTATTTTTTAAATTTGCAAGGCAGATTTCTGTTTTTAGAAGGCTCCATTACCAACATAATTATAACAGACTTGATACATAGATGCTGTAATGGAATGAAGAGTGGGGTTTTCCAGAACAGAACTGTTGAGAATTGTGTACACTTTGATCTCACTGAAAGTATCTGCAAACCCCATGCATTGCATACATGAAAAGGGAGGCTTTACTTTTCAATGCTTACCTTTTTTAGATTTACTTAAAAAAAACAACAAACCAACAACCAAACCCCAATTCAGGTTTTTCTGCCTGGATTGCTCAGTTATTAAGTCTCACTGAGAATCAGAATTTAAAACTACGGGTTTTAGTTATGGCTGCATATGATGCATAAATATATTTGAGTCTGGTTTTCATTTTTGGAAAGCTATTTGAACTGTTATGTTAATTAGTAGCATCTGATTCACAGCTCACTGTAAGACCCTGGCAAAAATAAATGAAGACACAAGGCAGTTATACAAAAGTTTCTTTGTAGTCTACTAGTTAGTGACTCTTAAGGTAAGAATGTTAGGTACTTGTCAGTAGCTGACCCTAGCCCCTACTGATGGTGAAAGCTAGAAGAATTGCAACACCAGCTTTTCCAAAATCACATCTAAAGCAAGCAAGATACCAATTTAAATTGAAAGTCGAATGTAAATTACAATCAGATCTGTTAATAAATGATGTTTTACTTATAAGTATAATTTCAAAGTTTTGTAATACTTTTTTATACTGGACTGTCACTGAGATGTAGGAATTCTGGAAGGAATGCAGTATTTTTGCTTTTAATAATGTGATGCAAGATGAAATTCTGTAGACATGGCATTTGATGCTTAAAACTTTGGGATGTAGATTTGTAGTGTTTCATTAATGTTTTTATATACGAAAGTGTCATAGTCAAAACTGATATTTTTTCTTGGTGATGCTAGTGAGAAAAAGTTTCTTCAAAACAACTGAGGTTGTGTTTGAGTTGCTTTAACTGTTAAGTTTTGCTAGTCTTTTAATAAATAATTTTACTGGATCTAAAATAATCAATGATCTTTGTAGAAGACCACATTGTAAACTAATCAGGTTACTCATGTGAAGGTGTCTTTGCAAAGTTTGAATTAAGGGGAGCCTCATGCTTTGGTTTCCTCTTCTCTGGACCTTGGTAGGAAATGGCTGATACATTGGGAAGGTTTAACTTACCTCTCTTATATGGCAGTTATTACAATAACAGAAGGATCAGAATGATGAGAAAAGGGAGGTGCTAAATAGTGGTTTGAATTTTTGCTTGTGGGATTTTTATTGTTTTCACTTTGCTTTTCAATGTTTGAAGTCCCAACAAGAGCACTTTACAAATGGAAGGTTGTAGGTGTAGTGTGGGAATAAAGTATAGTAAACATGTATGCCTCTATCATGTTGGTGCTCTGTTTATCTACCTGCCTCCTTTCGATGGTTTGTGATACTTGCTCAGGTTTTGACCTACACTTTTTTCCTAAATCTTAAATGGAAGGGTCTTGACTATTTTAGTTTTTTTACTTAACTCTTCTTTGGAAGAAATGGATCATCACATTACTTTGACTTCCATCAGCTACAATTGCCTTTTAATCTTCTTAATGGCATTATAGCAATTTAGGAGTTGCACCGTGTGTAACGCTAAGAGTAATGGGATCTTTTCCTTGCGTTTCGCTACGGGTCTGTTTTCTAAGTGTCCACGAGATGTCACTGTTGTCCTTAATTTTGAGTTTGGTTTTGTGCTGTGGTTTTTTAGTAACTAAATGATACCCCTTTTATATTTACTACAGCATTATACATATAACTGCAATAACTTAAGTTTCTTACACAGTGGTTAAATTCCACTTTTTAGGGTATATGTGTTGTTAAAGATCTATAGAAACAATAAAATGTATAATAAGCATATTAAATCAGTAGTTTCTCAGGCAATATTTATTGAGCTTTTTTCTTGCCAAACACAAGATTCTATGCATAATGTATTTATTTTAAAAGACTCTTATAAATTAAATTACTTGCTCTTTTATACTATATTAATATGACTGTAGTATGTTGCATGAGAGCAGTAATTCTTATGCATACCACGTGCTCCTATGCTTTTTTACCTTCGAAACAGAGATAAAAATAAGGTCAAACTGCTTAATAGTGAGATACAATACTTTAAAATATTAGCGACTAACTTTATTGCCACTGTAATGTTAAATATTGCTTTCAATTTTCATAATTCCTAAAATGGTTGATACTTGGATTGTGTTTCTTAAGTTTTCCCTCAGTCCTGAAACTTTCTCATTTCTTCAACTTCTCTAACATATAGGCATGTTACTAGGGCAGTGTGAACTGTTATGAGCTCTTTAGAGAAATTTGCTTAATTATACAACTAACCAACTGACTGGGTGGAAAATCCAGCTAAATTTTATATTTTTCCATGGATGTTTGCCCAGGTCATAGTGTCTAATGAAAGTCCTGTGATGCCTCTGTGTGTTTTCCTCCTAATGGCTTAATTTTCAAAACAATGCTGTTAGGCTAGGTTTTACCACTAATACAAGATTAGCTTTAGTTTTCAGTTTAGAATGCAGACATGTCCTTTTTGGAATCTAAGATGAAAATATTTTTTTAATAACAGTTTTTTTCTGTCTGAGAAAGAAATAATTTGTACCCCATCCTATGGGGGAGAGCAGCTGTTATAATCTGATAGCATTAATTTCCTTGTTCAGCTGGAGGAACTACAGTTGTGTGCAGTAAGCCTTCTTCTCTGATTTAAGTGCTTTTTTATCACAGCTGTGAAGCTTGGAGAGCAAATATTTTTCTCATTTCCAGTTTCAGAGATCTCCCACATAGCGGTGTAGTCGGTCTGGATGTATGAGAGAGTCTATAAAAGCATTTGTAGTAGGACATTTTTTTCATTTAGGTGTTGTAGGTCAGCAAAACTGGCAAGCTTAGTGATAGGACCAAACCATTGCTAGTGTCTGCCATTGCTATGTGTACTTTGCCTTTCAAATTGCTAAAGGATAGTAATAATTCACGTGGCAGATCAGATGTATTAATGTTAAGGCCTAAAAGGAAATTATCAGAAGTACCCCTTTGAAGGGTACAGGCTGTGAATGTGTTCTCTCTATGCAGCTGGGCAAACCTGTGAACAGATAGCATCATGGCTTTGTGTAACCTAGGGAAGCAATCTGTATGCCATTCAGTCTGAAGTAGTGCTGCTGGAACTGGGTAACTCCTGTGGTTAACAACCTCCATAGGTATGCAATGATCTGTTGCTGGGTAACGAGAATAGCCCTTTGTGTAGGAAAAAGACACTGTCTCTGGAGGTCATATGTAGCATACTTTGCATCAAAGAATGATACTAAGTATTAAATGTTACCTTGGCAGAGGCCTTCTTTAACTCAGTTTCTGTATGCTTTCCTCTGGGAACAAAAACCTTTGAGACTTCTTCAAGAAGACTCCGTTCTGAAGATGACTTTGAAGACTCAGGTGAAAGCCCTGTTGTCTTAATACATCTTTACTGGCAACAGTGTGAATTCTTTGTTACAGTTTTTTGTTGTCTTTTGTATAATTGCTGACTATTTTGTTTTCAGTTTTTTTTTTAAGTCCTTTTGGTCTCTCTTAGTGTTTCATAACCAGATACTCCAAAGCTGTGGCCAGCAGAGCGGAATCCCTGGTGGCCGGGTGTTGTGGCCAAGCACCACGGACAGGGCTACCTCTTCAGGATTTGAAGAGATTCTGTGTTATAGCAGGGGATTGTCAAACAGAGGAATGCCCCAACTGGGGAGCTTTTCACAGGGGTAGTTAAGGAAGTTAACCCTCTTTTAATCTCTTTACTCAGACAGTGTCCAGTGATTGTAGGGAAGAGGCTGGACTTTCTAGACATGGGATGAAATTTGAGAGTTGGCATTTGCAACCTGTTTTCTGTATGTGGAGTAAACTTAGATACTGAGGAACCAAGGGGATACTAACTTGTCACAGGACTGTTGCAAACCAATGAATCAAGAAGATTAACTGCTTCGGAGTCTCTGATCAAGCATTTCTAATGTGATTTTAAACTACTTTCCTCTGAAGATGGAGTGGTGATTGTTTTTCTTACTGCTTTATTTAGATTTCTGACTAGGCTTCCAGGACTTTGGTTTGAAGCAGCAGTTCCTCTGTGTTCTTTCTTCTGTAGAAGAAAAGATGCATTTCTGACTCCTAGCTATTCCTTGGGTTTAGAGTGTCAGTGAAAAATATTCAGTCTGCTTTCTTCAAACTGCACTTGATGCTGAGAAGGGACTGTGTTAGCTTTAGTTATATAGAATTTCAAGGCGTAGTCTTTCTTGCCTGTGTCTAGGATGCTCTGCAGATGAGGTAGTTACATCAATTTGTTTGCTTTGTTTTGTTATCTTGCTGTTCAGATGGTTGGGTATGCATTTAGTTTATCAGGATGCAGACTGTACCTGTTTCTTATCTAAAATGTACCAGTACTGGAAATCTGCAAAGCAGGGGAGTAGAATTATCCCCTGGTATTGGTTAGTTATTAAGCCTTGTGTCAAGGGTAGGAGTCAAGTTTAGGAAGTGAGGTTATTTGCATTTGGTGCAGTTGTTACTCTGTATTTCCACCTTTCAGGAGAGAGAATATTTTGAGAGTCACCAACTGGGATGTTCACAGGAACTCTTCAGAAGAGAAAAGCTCTTAACATCATAACATCAGTGTTCCCTGCTAACGTTGCCATCACTGGAGATGATGGCACCTGTTCATCTTTTGTATGTTTATGGAAATCAACTAATAAATG